GTGTCCAGCCTCATCGCCACCAACGAGGCGCACAGGTAAACTGTTAATACCTGTAGAGCACACCTGTTAATACCTGTAGAGGTAAATACCTGTTAACACCTGTAGAGCACACCTGTAGAGCACACCTGTTAATACCTGTAGAGGTAAACACCAGTTAACACCTGTAGAGCACACCTGTTAGCCCCTGTAGAGCACACCTGTTAGCCCCTGTAGAGCACACCTGTTAGCCCCTGTAGAGCACACCTGTTAGCCCCTGTCGAGCACACCTGTTAGCCCCTGTAGAGCACACCTGTTAGCCCCTGTCGAGCACACCTGTTAGCCCCTGGAGAGCACACATGTTAGCCCCTGTAGAGCACACCTGGTAGCCCCTGTAGAGCACACCTGGTAGCCCCCTGTAGAGCACACCTGGTAGCCCCTGTAGAGGTTACACTGTCCTGTAATGAGCCTAAGCTCTGAAGGCTGATGGACTCTTCTGTGTGTTGCAGGCAGATCCTGCGAGATCACGGCTGCCTGCCCACACTGCTGCAGCACCTGAAGTCTCACAGCCTCACCATCGTCTCCAACGCCTGCGGAACGCTCTGGAACCTTTCGGCTCGAGACGCCAAGGACCAGGAGGCATTGTGGGAGCTGGGCGCTGTGGGCATGTTGCGCAACCTCATCCACTCGCGCCACAAGATGATCGCCATGGGCAGCGCCGCCGCTCTGCGCAACCTGATGGCCAACCGGCCGGCAAGGTACAAAGACGCCAGCGTGGTGTCGCCGGGCGCCGGCGCCCCCTCGCTGCACGCCAGGAAGCAGAAAGCTCTGTTCGAGGAGCTGGACGCCCAGCAGCTGTCAGAGACCTTCGACAACATCGACAACCTGAGCCCGAAGGCAGCGCACAGGAAGGGGCGGGGCTGCAGCGGCGCCACGGGGGGGGGCGGCCCGACGCGCTCTTACACCAACACGCCCGTTCTGTCCAGCCCGAAGAGCGCCGACGGGTTGAAGCGGACGAGCGAGGAGCCGTTCGCCCGGCCCGTGTTCCCGCCCAGCGTCCGGGCGTCCAGCGACAGCCTCAACAGCGTCACGAGCGCAGACGGGTACGGAAACCGCGGCAAAACCAAACCGTCCACCGAGCCGTTCTACTCCTCGGACGAGAACGGAGGCAACAAGTGCTGCGTCTACAGGAAGTACCCGGCCGACCTGGCGCACAAAATCCGCAGCGCCAACCATATGGCGGACGACGACGGCGGCGAGCTGGACACGCCCATCAACTACAGCCTCAAGTACTCCGACGAGCAGCTGAACTCTGGGCGTCAGAGCCCGAGCCACCGCGGCGCCGCAGAGAGCGAGGAGACGAGCCGCTGGACGCCCGGCTGCGGCGCCGCGGTGACGCGGCTCCCAAAGGGAACCGCATGGCGTCCGCCCCGCCGCAGCGGTATGTCGCCACGGCAACATCAAACTACAGCGGCGAGCCGGCACCGGAGCAGCCGATCGACTACAGCCTGAAGTACGGCGCCGACGTGACCCGCAAACCTCTGTTCAAACCTGAGGAGAGCACCCCCCCCTCAGCACCCCCTCCCCCGCTGTCCTCAGCTAACAAGCTCCGCCCCCCGCCGCCGACCAAGCGCCCGCCGCCCAAAGGCAGCCAGGAGGCGCCGCAGACGTACTGCGTGGAGGACACGCCCATCTGTTTCTCTAGGGGCTCCTCGCTGTCCTCGCTGTCATCGGAGGAAGAGGAGGAGGATGGGAGGAAGAGGAGGGGGGGAGGCAGCGACTACCCCACGCTTCCTGTGAGCGAGAAGGAGGAGCAGCAGCGTCAGCAGAAGGAGGCGCAGAGTCAGACCTCCAGTGCCGCCGCTGCTGCAGCCGCCGCCTCTAGGGGGCGACGCAGCCACCATCATCATCATCACGTGACATCATCCGGCGCCCGGACGCCGAAGAGCCCCCCCGAGCCGCCGTACGCTCAGGAGACGCCGCTGATGTTCAGCCGCTGCACCTCCGTCAGCTCCCTGGACAGCTTCTCCACCTCCTCCATCGCCTCCTCGGTGCGCAGCAGCGAGCCGTGCAGCGGCATGCCGAGCGGCGTGGTGAGTCCCAGCGATCTGCCCGACAGCCCGGGGCAGACGATGCCTCCGAGCCGCGCCAAGACGCCACCGCCGCCCAGCAGCAAACAGGAGAAGAAGAAGCAGGAGGAGGAGAGCAGCGCCGACGTCATGCTGCACTTCGCCACCGAAAGCACGCCGCACGGATTCAGCCGAGCGTCCAGTCTGAGCGCGCTCAGTGTGGACGAGCCTTACATCATGGCGGAGATGAGGAAGGAGGAAGAGGAGGAGGCGAACAAGGAGAGGAAGGAGAGGAAGGAGAGGGAGGAGAGGGAGGAGAGGGAGGATGAGGAAGGGCAACTGGACGAGTCGGACGACGACGACGACATCGAGATCCTGGAGGCCTGCATCAAGAGGGCAATGCCCAAGTCGTCACGGAAACCAAAGAAACAACAACAGCAGCCGGCGCCACGGAAACCCAGCCAGCTTCCTGTCTACAAGCTCCTCCCCCCGCAGGGCCGCAGCCAATCACAGCAGAGGAAGGACGGTCCATCGGAAGAGGTGCCGAGGATTTACTGCGTGGAGGGAACGCCGCTCAACTTCTCCACCGCCACCTCGCTGAGCGACCTCACCATCGACTCACCACCCAATGAGGAGGCTGCACCTGCGGCTCAGCCCTCCAATCAGAGCAGGGGGGCGGGGCTTAGGGGGGCGTGGCCTCCTGAGGGCGACAACGGTGACGACATCTTGGCGGAGTGCATCAGTGCCGCCATGCCTAAAGCAAGACCCAGGAAGCCGGTCCGCGCGGCGCCTGGCGAGATACAGGCTCCGCCCCCTCTACAGGCTCCCCCCCCTCCCCCCCGGCCCCGCCTCTACTCGGCACGCAGCAGCAGAAGAAGAAACCGACGTCCCCGGTGAAGCCGATGCCCCCGCGGGCGCCATACAGCATCTCCGCGGCAACAGCAGCCAAAGCAAAGCCGGGCTTCACCTTCGACTCGCCGCACCACTACACGCCCATCGAAGGCACGCCGTGCTGCTTCTCGCGCAACGACTCGCTCAGCTCGCTCGACTTCGACGAAGACGAAGGCGGCGAGAAGGACGAAGAGAAGCGAGTGAAGGAGGAAGACGGCAGGAAGAGGAAGCAGCAGACGGCGGCCGTCGTTCCCCGAACAAAGCCCGCCGCCAACCTGCCGGACGACAGGCAGAAGTTCTGCATCGAGGACACGCCCGTCTGCTTCTCCAGGAACTCGTCTCTGAGCTCGCTGAGCGACATCGACCAGGAGAACAACAACAAGGAGTTCGCTGCCCCCCCCCCTCCGGAGCAGGGAGGAACAGCCGGCAGGAAGTCGCCCCCCCTGCAGGAAGAGCAGAAGCCCCGCCCCCCAGCGAGTGGCTACGCCCCCAGAGCGTTCCACGTGGAGGACACGCCCGTTTGCTTCTCCAGGAACTCGTCCCTCTCGTCTCTGAGCATCGACTCCGAGGACGACCTCCTGCAGGAGTGCATCAGCAGCGCCATGCCCAAGAAGAAGAAGAAGGGCGCCGCGCCACCGTCCCTCCCTAAAGAAGAAGACGAAGACGACAACGGGATATTAGCCGAAGAGGAGCCTTCGGACGGGCCGCGGAGCCCCGCCTCCCCCGACTCGGAGTCTTTTGATTGGAAGGCGATCCAGGAAGGAGCGAACTCCATCGTCAGCAGCCTGAACGCCGCCGCCGCCGCGCCGCTGTCCCGCCAGCCGTCCTCCGACTCGGACTCGGTGCTGTCGCTCAAGTCTGTTGGATCCCCGTTCCGCCTGCCGCCGCCGTCCAATCAGAGCGCAGAGGAGGGGGAGAAGGAGGAGGGGGGGAAGGAGGAGGGGGGGAAGCGAGGGGGGCGGATCCTGAAGCCTGGCGAGCGCAGCACTCTGGAAGCCAAGAAGAAGAAGGAGCAGGAGGAGGAGGAGGAGGAGGAGGAAGAGGAGGCGAAGGCGCTGCGCGGAGGGAAGAAGGTTTACAAGAGTCTGATCACCGGGAAGCCTCGGGTGGAGGCCAGGGGGCGGAGCCAACCTCAGGTGGAGGCCAGGGGGCGGAGCCAACCTCAGCTGGAGGCCAGGGGGCGGAGCCAAGCTCAGCTGGAGGCCAGGGGGCGGAGCCAACCCCGAGCGGCGCCCGCTGCCAAACCCCCAGGGAGCGACCCCGAGCGAGGCTCCTCTCGAGACTCCACCCCCTCACGCTCCTCCTCAGCCAATCAGAAGGGAGGGAAACTGCTGCCGCCGCGCACCGCCTCTCCAGGAAGTGCTTCGTCTTCATCATCTTCAGCGTCCAGAACGACCAATAAGAGCGGATCGGCGGTGAGGAGCGGCGGTGGCATCCCGAGGAGCGAGTCGGCGTCTCGAGTCGGAGGATCGACGGCGGCGAAGAAAGCGAAGGCGGAGTCTGAGAAGCCGCCGGCGCTCGTCAGACAGTCGACTTTCATCAAAGAGGCTCCGAGCCCCACGCTGAAGAGGAAGATGGAGGACGGAGAGACCGCCTCCAGCCCAGAGAGGATTCACGAGAGCCCTGTACGCCCACAGGAAGTGACATCATCATCACGCTTCAGCCGCACCGGCACCTGGAAGCGGGAGAGTAGCAGCAGCGGGGGGGGAGGAGGAGGCGGGTCTAGCGGCGGCGGGAAACACTCGACCTCGTTGCCCCGCGTCGGAACCTGGAAGAGAACGGGAAGCTCCTCCTCCGTCCTGTCAGCATCATCAGAGTCCAGCGAGAAGGGGAGGAGTCAGGAGGGGCAGGAGGGGCGGGGCCAAGAGGACAGGAAGGGCACTTGGAGGAGGGCGAAGAGTGGGGGAGAGGGGCGGGGCTTCAGTGACCGAGCGGAAGACGTTTGGGTTCGATTGGAAGATTGTCCCGTCAACAACCCCCGCTCCCCTAACGGCCCCCCAATCATAAGCCCCGCCCCTTCCTCCTCCGTCATAAGCCCCGCCTCCTCCTCCTCAAAGATCCCGTCCTCCACCTCGTCCTCGTGCTCCAACCTCAACCTGCGGCGCAGCTGCGAGAGTCTGGACGACAAACAGCAACCGCCCCCGCAACCGTCGCTGCAACAGACCCCCCCTCAACAACAACAGACGCCCCCTC